CCAGTAGGGTCAGCTGTTGGGATCCCCCTGTCACTCTGGAGATGCAGATGGATTCAACCGCACTGTAGCTCGATGGCATCAGGGTGCACTGTGCGCAGTGTCCACCAAAGCCTTATACTCTTGTGGGTCTGACGTGCCAGGCCATCGGATCCACACTGTCCAGTAAATCCGATTGTCCCTTTCCTCCACCTGGCTGGAGGCAGGGCCCCTCTAATCCTGCTCATCATCACTCACTTCTTGAAAGAATGATTTACTGGTCCCCTCAAGAGGGTCAGACATAACATTCACCATTCTATTCTGCCTGGGGGATTTCTGACTGGACACTGGAGCTGCGCTCTTCTTGGAGGACTCCCCTTTTGCGACGGCCTTCCCTTTCAGCTGCTCTACTCGTGCAGCTAGGGAGGCAGTGGGCTGTCCATCCCACCTCCTCATGTTCTCTCCATGGTCACAGAGAAAAAACCACAGGGTGCCTCGTGGTGTGTGCCTTCTGCTGCCTTTCTCTTGGGTGGGGAAATGTTTACTTCTAATGGCTGAGACATCAGCCCGTGCAGGTGGAACGTAGGAAATGTCCTCTTCCATTTTCTGGATCCTCTGAGACAGTTCCTCCACAGCTGAGACCCAGGGATGCTGAGATGAAGGGAGATTTCCCTCATATTGCCGGAGCTTGCCAACCACTCCATCCACTGTTAGAGTGTGGGTGTCTGTCCACCAGGACACTATTGCCAATGATTTCGAGTGTGCTTCTGGTGCGCTCTTCAGGAACTTTCACCACATCAGGTGTGTGCAAGGGGCCTGATCTGGGTCCATGGGTGACTGCTCATCATTCAGATAATCATAGATCATCTCAAACACAGCCAGTTCCCTGAGGTTCTGGATGCCTTTCTCAATGCTGGTCCATTTGCCTAGCTGACATAGGATATCATCCTTGTAGGGGTGCCTCTCCCTGACACTGAACAGGAGTTGCTTCCAAAGGCTGAGAGTTTGAGCCTGTTTCCCTATTTCCCTATCAATGCCATCATCCTTGGCCAAAGATCCCAGCTGCTTGGCCTCTCTCCCCTCCATCTCAAAAGCACTGGCTCCATTGTCCCAGCATCAGAGCAGCCAGGTGCAAATCTGCTTGCCTCCCAGGCGGCCAAAATCTCTCTGCATATGTTGCAGCTCAGTCAGGGACAGAGATCGGACAATCACCTCTGGCCCTTCCTCCTATTCCCCTGATGGGCCTGGCTCATCCTCATCCCTCACTCTGCGAACAGACTTGCTGGTATATTTTGTTTTCTGTATTGGGGCGACTGACACTGGCACTGCCTGGCTCTCTGGCTCAGTCGCTGTGCTGGTGGAGGTGACTGAGACTGGCTCTGCCTGTGCCCCCGGTTCAGATATTGTTTGTGTGGCCTTTTCTTCCCGTTGAGGGCAGCGGGTGGTATTAAAGAGGGCACGGTAGGCATGGGCAAGTCCCCAACACATTGCAGCGATTTGTGTCTCCTGGGTTTTGCCAGCTTGGTAACACACCCTTTCTAAGCACTCCATCAGTTTCTCAGGGCTTTGCATTTGCTCAGGAGTGAAATTCCAAAGCATTGCGGGTGCCCACCGACTCAGGCCTTTGCCCATCTTTTCCCACACCCCTTGCCACTCACTATTACCTGGCCTCGGGGCAGGTTTCCGGGCACTGCTGTTGTCAGAGAAATACCACATGGCCAAAACCGAAACCAGGCAGACATTCAGAAGGCATTGTGCCACAATCACACTGGCCTGCGGGCTTCATGAATAGTTAAAACTCCCCAAAGCCGAGAGGATCTCTTCCCCTGGCTCACCCACAGAGGGGGTGAGACCCCTAACAAAAACCAAACGGCAAACAGGTACCGGCCCACCCCCACACACAGCGATACAAAGGCAGCACAAGCATTCAATAGCCCGTATAACAACATAAGACCCTTTGCACATTTTCCACTGATAACAAACAACACCACTGGGATCATACACTGGATATAAGGGTTAATCCAGCCCCACCATGCAAGCAAATGGGCCAGCATTGCAAACATTTTCTTATCAAACACACACAAATACAAACAGAAAGATTACACCCAACAGATTGCTCTACCACTCTGGTCAGCGTCTGCCCCACGTTGGGTGCCAATTTTTTATATGCAAGGTTTAATTCTTGCCAGGATGAGAGCACGTGGCTGTTGCCCCTCCCCCACCCGCGCCGGTCAGGCTGGAAGTTAGACACAGACCCCGGCTAAAATAACAAGAAATTTAATACAACAGAGTGATAGAACGATCTGAATAACAACAGTATCAATGGTAACAACAATAAACAGCAATAACAGTGAACAAAAGATATACAGAGAAATACTGCTAAATGATCAAGGAGCAAACCCGCCGCGTGTATGGCAAAAACCAACACCCGAAGCGAAAGGTAAAAAGGTTCCGCCCCTGAACCTGACATCAGCATGGTATGAATAACCCGGCTGGAGATCCCTTCCCCCTCTCTCTCTGCTGAGGAAAACTTTATTCTGTCCTGGCTGAACCAGGACACTGAGGTACATTATGACCTTGGGGGTGATAAAAAACAGCCCTGGGAGAAAAACAGGTTCAGAGGAGGGAAGGTGTTTATGCATACCTGAAATACCACAAGGGGCTGGGATATTATAATGTAGCCTTTTTACATGTATCCAATAGATTTGTGATTAGTATGCATGATTATTGTAGAGTGCTTATATAAGGTGTGATTTCTTTCAATAAAGTTGAAGCTTGCTCTGTCATTCACATTGAATCAGCTGCTTGCTTCCTCCGCCTGCTGCAAATAACCACTCATGAATCTAAATTCTATAAACGTGCATTTTCTCAAAATTTGTACTTAATCTTTGTAACACATTTTATGGTAGTGAGTTCCAAAAATTTATATAAAGCTTTATAGGAAGTGCTTTCTTTTAAATCTATTCTGATATTTTACTTGGATGAGATTTGATTTTGTGTGAGGAAAAATAACCAATATTGCATATACTCCAGAGCATTCATTTAGAGACTATCCTATCTCCTCAGTGGGGTTTTTTTGAGTTGTTTTTGTGGAGGTTTTTTTTGTTGGGTTTTTTTTTGTTTTGTTTGGTTTGGGTTTTTTTTTGGGGGGGGGCAGTGAGGTTTTTTTTTCTTTTTAGAAGTAGAGAAGCTACTTGGTGTTTAACGTTTTTTCTTCAACTTACCAGTGTTACCACAGAATCAGGCATCCAAGGTCAATGAAATATTTGAGCTTTGTAATATTATTAACGTGAAAGGATAGCAGAAAACAAAGTATTTAAAATGAATGAAGAAAAAAATCTTACAAAACAATGCTAGAAAGCAAGTCCAAGTAACTTAGCTATTTGAATAATTTATTAAAAATCCTGTAAGATAAAAGTGTATAGATCAAACATTAGAGCCACACTCTGAATAATGGAGGGCAGTTGAGCAAGCAGTATGAAACAAAAAAAGTTAATGTTGATGCACAACAGCACACACTTGGACCTATACTCATAGCTAATCCCAGTTAATCTGGCTAATAGCACTCATAGCTAATCCCTGTAAAATGAACAGCATTCACTCAAAAACACACATGACAGTGTGAAATTTTTGCTTAACATTTAATAGGGCTAAAAAAGGCAATTATGATAGAACTTAAGATGAGTCAAACCCCCTTCCCCTATACATCCTTATACTATCTTGTAAATCAATCATATGAAATACTGTTGAGTCTTGTTCATGACTTTCATAGTGACTTTTAGTAGCTACAAGACCTAACTGAAAAAAAAAATCCTGATTTCAGTCATTGCATTTAGTTTATCTAGGAAGTTAAGGACAGCTGCCTACTTCAGGTGGAGGAGAGCCTGATCAGAGGAGAGGCACTTCTGGGCCTGTTGCTACTAATGGAGAACAACTTATTAAAGAGGTCAATATGAGAGGTTGCCTGGGCTGCGCAATCATGCCCTGATGGAATTCTCAATCTTGAGGGGTACAGAATGGGTAAAAAGTAATCAGGACCCTAAACCTCATAAAGACAAACTTTCATCCATTTAGGGTGCCAGGGCCTCAGATCCCTTGGGAAACTCCCTTCCGAGACAAAGGACTGGATGAGAGCTGGAAATATTTAAAGACATTTTCCTTAGTGTGCAAGATCTCTCAATCCAGATGTGCAAGAAGTTAGGCAGGGGAGGCAGGAGGCCAGCTTGACTAAGTCAAGACCTAATAGCCAAACTAAACCACAAACCCAAAATGCATAGGTAGTGGAGGCACCTGGGGATATTATAGGGATATGGCCCAAGAATGCAGGGAGTCAAGGCACAACTGGACCTTAACTTGGCTAGGGATGTGAAAAGTAACAGGGTTTCTTCAGGTACATAAATCAACAAAGGAAGATTAAAAAAATCTATTCTCCCCAGATAAGTGAAATGGCGGACCAGGTTACAACAGACATGGAGATGGTTGAGGTACTCAACTTTTTTACCTGTCTTCTCTCACAAGTAGCTATGCCACCCATTTCACAGAATCCAAAGGCAGAGATGGAGAGAATGAAGTACTGTCCACCATAGGAAATCAGGTTCAAGACCAGCATCTGTAGCCCTTTGCACAAAGATGTGTCAGCTTTCCTAAGTGTTTATCTTAAAGCAAATAAATTTGTTTGCAAAGGCTCTGAAAAAAACCCACTTCACCTAGTTTCAAGGCCACATATAGGAGGAGATAAGCTATTTAAAATTTTGCCTCTACAGAGTACAGTAACATTTTAAAGGAAATTGAGAAGAGTTAAAAAAAATCTAAAAAATTAACATACAAGAAAAAAATATGATTTTTGAAGTAAAAAGGATTGTTAAAATCTTTACTTTGTTTATTACATGAATCTGCATCTTAGTAAAGCAGCGGAAAAAACCCTCCGCTGCTTTACCTTTTGGGGATTCACACTAACCAAATACATATTTTTACTAAATTAACAAATAAAAAAAGAAAATCCTCTAAGAAGAAGAGATTACTGATATGAAAAAAGCTTATCATAAAAGCATGCCTTAGCCTCCAAGTAAGTGTACACTGGTGCTTTGTTTTGTTTTAAAATAAACATGTAGGTCATACTACATATGAAAGGCTTCTAGGCGTATTTTTTTTGCATCTTCTGGATGTCTCAGGGCAATTCCACTTCGCAGCAGCAGTTCTATATATGGTGGCCAAAATGAGTCATTGATTGTTACATAGGGTTCATGTGGTGTGCTCATTAATTTGTTTACAAGCATCTGGAAGACCAAAAAGATAAGATTTAGAGAATGAACAAACAGCTAAATTTTTATCTCCTTTAATCAAATGCATGCAAATTATTATAATGAGACACTTATGTAGGCAATATAATACATACAAGACTACAGAAGAAATAAAAGACCTGTTCAAAGTAGAAATAAAACTAAAAACTTTTATTTCACTTCATCACATCTTTTTTGATGTAAAAATTAGAACCAGTCTGGATAAAAGGAGAATTCTAAGTTTTTCATCATCCATCAAAAATTCTTAGTGGATATTAGATAGTGAATCTATAAATGGCTAAAAAATCTGAACATGAAGGTGATCAATCCTTATATAATTGATCTTAAAATCAGTACCTGTTAATTTAAGATTCAAAGCATTAAATAGGATGGAAAGCTAGATTTTTGGGAATCACCTCAAAACCTTAATGAGTTGCTGTCAACAAACAGTATTTCTCCTTCACTCTTTCAGATTTTAGCAAAGAATGTCCATCTTACAATTTTTCTAAATGCCATCTCACTAATAAGCTAAAAAAGCCCTCTCTTCTGAGATTGGAAAGAATTATTTTTTCTCTATTTTATATCCTTCTGTAGGTAGTGTTAGAAATAAGTAAGTTTGCACACGTGAACAGTTTAACATCATTGTCCTACATTAACTTCGCTATGTTTGCACACTAAATCTTTTTGCTCATCTCGTAAATGAGTTATCCAAATTCTTAAGATCACTTCTTGTTTGGGCATGACAAGACCCTTGCAACATGTCACCTCCTTTTGATACTTCCCTACTCCCCCTTTGTTCCTTAAATAAACACAGGATTACTTAATGGAGTTAAAAACAAGCATCAGTTTTGACATTCTTCTTCTGGTTTTGGAGGCCATGTTTATACTACTCATGGGAAACATTGCACACATTAAATAATTTTACCCATCCCATGGTGCTCTCTATTCATCCCAGATATTTAATCTTTCTACTCAGAACTTCTAAATGTTATCTCTTTTCCAGTTTCATTAGGTACAAAATACTCTGTCTGCTTCTTTATTGCTAAAGAAAAACTGAAAATCCTTACTACCAGACTTTACTCTTTTTTTACCCATTGCTATTAAAAAAAAAATACTGCTGCTCTTTTTTACAACATTCTGAAGAGTTGTTCCAGTTTATGTATTTTGTCCTTATCTGCCAAAATCTAAGTATTTACTTCAAATGTATTGTTTTAGATGATTTATTACTTAGTCTTTTCCAACATCTGACATTCCAAAATAACCTTTATAGCTACAACTTTAAATACATTTCTATTGTAAACAGTCTTTCAGATCTTAAACTAGTTCAACAAAAACAATCTGAGGATTATTCCTTTCTGATCAATAAATGGAAAATAATTACTATATTTGTAAATAATTACAACTCATTACTGGAATAAAAAGTAGTGTAATAAAAATTTTGAGGTTTGCATGAGAAAAATTTACTCCTTGCTTACTATTTATGTTATTTTGAGGCCACACCTCAATTCCTGTGTTCAGTTTTGGGCCCCTCACTCCAATAAGGACATTGAATGACTCGAGCGTGTCCAGAGAAGGGCAACGAAGCTGGTGCAGGGTCTGGAGCACAGGTCGTACGGGGAGCGGCTGAGGGAACTGGGGGGGTTTAGTCTGGAGAAGAGGAGGCTGAGGGGAGACCTCATCACCCTCTACAGCTCCCTGAAAGGAGGTTGCAGAGAGCTGGGGATGAGCCTCTTGAACCAAGGAACAAGTGATAGGACAAGAAGAAATGGCACCAGGGAAGGTTTAGACTGGATATTAGGAGGCATTTCTTTATGGAACGGGTTGTTAGGTGTTGGAATGGGCTGCCCAGGGCAGTGGTGAAGTCCCCATCCCTGGAGGTGTTTAAGAGTCGGGCTGACATAGCACTTAGGGATATGGTGTAGTTGAGAACTGTCAGTGTTAGGTTAAGGGTTGGACTAAATGATCTACAAGGTCTTTTCCAACCTTGATGATTCTGTGATTCTATGTAATTTAAGTAGGTACTGATATACTTAACTAATATAAATGTATACACCTAGCTTATCAAAGTGGATTTATTAAAATGTATATTTTAATTATTTAACAAACACATAGAGATTGAGCAGACTCATGGTTAGGAACACATGCACTGATTGAAATTCTGTGAATGAATTACATTTGTACAACAGCAAATCCTAATTCTGTAACTATAATGTAAAGATAACTTTGAATTTGTCTCTTTAAGAAAGTATTATCTGTATCTATAAAAACACTTTTGAAATTTAACAGGCACTTGAAGCTAGAACTGAATTACTCCACAAAAAACCCTCCCATAAAACAAAGATAACGGACATGGACAGTTTATGCCAAGATAGTTAAAAATAAATCTTGGTTTTTGGAAGCAGTATGTTATTCCAAATGGAAATTAGACATGGCTTAGATGTGTTCACATTTTGAGGAGATTAACAATATCAGAAAAATGTGAAGGGCAATTTTAAAGCATTAGAAGAGCTTTAAAATTTTTATTCCATAGGGAATGGGCCTATTTTAAATTCTGATCTGTTTTCAAGCTCTGCCTAATTTGGCATTAACAGGCATGCTGAGATACTTGAAGCATGTAAAATGATTTTGATGGTGTAAACCCCAAGTATGGGCTTTTAACTAAAGTACAACAATGTCATGCTGACCAGATCATAGCATCTTAATAACAGAAAGTTGTTAGTCATCAAGTTTTCCCTCAGGAAAAAACTTTTTCCCCCAGGAATGTCTTACACATAGATACTTACAACTGTCTGAAGACTGAGGATGGAGGAGGAATAGAAACACTTCAAATGTAACATTTAAGAGAAGAAGGAACAATGCTAGTGAAAATATTTTTAATGCTCCTTCAAAATTGTGCTTTGCAATTCAAATTCATAAATTGCACAGTGATTACAAATACACAAAGCAAAGCTTACATACTTATAAAATCAATTAGAAATGCTTGCATCAGATTAATTTATCTTTCATATGAAAAGATAATCCAGTTAATACGTGAGACTACACATTAACTGGTCCTTCTAGAACTGTTATTGTACTATATTTCAGAAATATTTTTATCAAAATAGTACAGAATATATCATGAAATGGAACAATTCATTTTAAGCATAGTGTTTGTCTCCAGCATGAACCACTGAGGCTCATAAATCTTTAAAATAAACATTATAAAATATAATGATTGAAGATGAAATAATCAAAATTATTGCCACATCTCTTTTAAAAAATTGAGGGATTAATTTGATAGGAATTAAAACACAAATCTGACAAAACATTCTTAAACATTCTACTTTTCAATTAACTATTTTAATTGTATGCCATACACAGTTATTCATCTTATTAATATTAATATATTATGATCAGATCTGAGTACAGGAAAATCCCCCATATCTTTATGTAAAAAAAACCATCTTACCTCTAAAATTTCATGCAGCGTTATCAGTTCTACAGATGGCTCTTCAGAAGAACCCTGCAAAGATAACCACCCCCCCAGTCAAATTAACAAACCCCAAAACTAAATAGTCAGGAAGGATGTTAATTGACAAAGAAAAAGTAATCACACAATTATTTGAATACATAGTACACAACAGATGAAGACTTTTACTTAGATTTAATGACATAAATACAATGTAGTATTTAAATCTACCAGTTCAAAATCATACACTTTAAATGTAACTTTTTAAAAACTGATTATTAAAAAAGTGACCATAGTGTATCTACCTGGGTTTACATTTAAATAAAACCAAATACATCATTTTTATAATATAGTACAGGGCAAAACATTCTCTGAGGTAAGAAAAAAAAATGATGTTTTTTTGTGAACTTTATGAAAATGTTTACAATGCAAAAGTCCTTGATAAAATATCATTACAAAATTACTTGTTTTCATCTGCAGCAAGCAAATCAAGCCATTTGCCTATAAATTTATATGGATTTCTAAAATTGATATAGATTTCTTAAACAGCAATGCTAACAAAATTGCTTGTGCTGTTGCAAGGTGAACTTGATTCTTTTATTTTTCAATTTTATCCTTTTTCCCCCATCCACTTCACATTCAACAAAATAATACAGCACTGGTGGCTGCTTAGTCAAGCACTGATGTTGAATATATCAACTTAAGTCCTAAGACATTAACAGCTGTGCAGCACCTTATACAAACTCTACTTCTGGACAGAAGGAGATTACAGCAATAAAAAAGAATTAATGAAAGGCAAGTTCTGGCTCCTTTTTTCCAGTCATAGTTCTTAATATTCTCACCTTCAGAAAGCCACAAGGGGGCTGCTGCCTGCTCCATGGACACCTTGCAAACCATGGAGCTAGGGCTCAATAATGCCTGTCTTTGTGCCTTTATATTGACACTAGGCTGAAGAGATAGAATCTGCACCAAGAAGCTGCAAAAGGTTCCTCAGAGCAATCATGAAGATATTTCATATCCTTGGCTGTGGTATTTCTCTGGCCAAAAATATGACTTCATAACTTACACAGTGGGTTTCAATATTCATGTTTCAGAGTTGAAATTAGGTTATGACTTGAGCAATTACTAAAACTGACATACAAAGAACAAATTCCTAAGGATATTAGTGTAAAGAGGTTTGCACTCCCACAGAAATAGAAAACTTATTTTGTTAGGTTTGTAATATACCTTATATATATTTTGGGTTTTATTATCTTACATATTTTAAGTGTCACCAATATAATAAGTACCTCTAATTAATTAATTAATGCTTATAAAGTAACTTTTAAGCAGGATGTTTAGTATCTGTTTATTTAACCATCCAAGAGATAGACTGGCATAAAGACTATTCCACAATATATGGCTTTTCATATTTCTTATCTTGAAAAAAAATTCTTTTTTTTTAATCCAAGATTTAAAATGCAAGATAATTCCTACCTCAGTCACTACCTATTCTAAAAGTGTTGGGCCATGGCAACAGAGGCTAACCTGAGCTGTGATTCAGTCTTCCCTCCCACTCCCAATCCCAGATGCAGGTGCCTGGTGAAAGAAGAGTGGAACTAGAACAGCAAGGCTAGGAGTTCACACTACTAGGCAGCTGTGCCCTACAGACATCAGCCCTGCACGTTTGTCCTCACACAGAACTACTGGGAGTACAAGAAGTTTCCACAAGGTGAAGCAGAAATTACTGCTGTACAGAGTTAAGAGTTCAGTTCTTCCAGAATATTGAACCAATCTGATAATAGATGTGAATAACATATTCACCCGAATCAATGTAACAGCAAATTTCATTGCGAATGCTGACAATTTCTGACACAATAAAGAAAACTATATAGGTAAAAATTGCTGTTTCTCCTGCTTTCACAGTTAATCACTTTAGATGCAGATTATAGGGGACCAGCAGTTAAGCCATTTAGATCCAAGTGAGTCAAAAGATATAGAGGCAGCTATGAATTTACAAGGAGGGAAAAGAAAGAAAAAGATATGTGAGAAAACAAACTATGTTTAGAAATTCAGGCAACGCATAGATAAAATTAAAGCTAAGACAAGACCTTGGAAATGTATCAAAATTAATTTTACATTTGAGTAAAACTAAAAAAAAAAGATATCACAAAGGTAGTAGGTGACTTCTGTGAGCAAGGGAAAGGGTTGATTAATCCTAAACACTTTGGGTGATTATTTTTTCCTTTAGATTTTAATAAGGAAAATTGCATGGAAGAGATGAAGTCAAGGTAGCTAGTAAGAATTTCTGACAGTATAACATGCTGAGAAAAAATTTAAGCAGTTGATTTTGCTCTGGGGGAGAAGTTTTTACATAAAATATTCCTCAAAATTCTGAAACACACACATGAATTCACTATTCCTTTTATTTAAAACAGGTGGATATGACCATGAGCAACTCGATCCAACTGACATTAGCACTACTTTGTTGATGGCGTTGGAATGGAAGATCTCCAGCTGTCACTTCCAGCCTATATTTTTCTATGGCTTCACATAAATAGGAGCAAATAAATAGATGTATCTTATCACAGGAAATATATTTTTAAGGAAATAATGATGATATATACGGAAAAAATGGACAATTGCTTAAAATGCTTCTTCAGACACTAATGACTTTCACAGAAGCATATCCTGGAACAACTGTAAGATGAGTAAGAATCAGCAAATAGGGAGATGGCACTATCAGGCCAAATTCAAGAAACATATGATTGAAAGACAACTGTTAATTACATCACTGAAACTTTAATTTCTTAACATTGGAGCAAAATGTATCATATTTAGTAACAGCAGAAGACTAGAAGGTATTGATATGCAGAAGAACTAATCTATAATAGAATAAGGTGTTTGAAGAGGGTTGAATAGTACTTTGAAAATGAATATCATGCCTTGAAAGCTCCTTTTGGTATTTTTATGTGCAAAACAGGTACTTCTGCCAAAACCAAGTTGGTTTTCTTTAGTTAAAAGCTGAACATTCATCAGTTGGAAATAACAGGAAGAAAAAGACAAGGGTGTAATTAGTTGCTTTTATGTGACTGTGAGCTAATAGTTGTCTATAACATTGATTTTTACCAGGTTCCAAAAAAGATGAATCCAAGTGGAAGCAAATACAAAAAAATGGGTGTTATTAGGATAAGCCAGGGAATTGTAAAAAATTACCTTACAGAAAAACAGGAAGCTTTGCTACTTTAGATAGCAAAAGAAAGGTTATAAGATTGCTGTCTATACATGTATCAAGAGTAATAAACACAAGAAAGAAAAAGAGCTGTTCTAAGGACAATGCTGGTGCAAGAATACATGGATCTGTTAGACATGAATAAATTTAGACTGGAAGTTAGGAGACAGGTTCTAACCAAGGTACTGAGATAATAGAACAAACTCCAACAGAAACAGTAGTAACAAAAATAATTAGTTTTTATATGGAGCTCAAATACTAAAGAAATTTTATTTTGTGGTTTTCTGAAATAACAAGGGACTGGATTAAAGAATCCCAGAATCAACTAGGTTGAAAAGGACACTGAAGATCATCTAATCCAACCATTAACCTAGCAATGACATAAAAGAAGTGCTTTCTATTTCTGTATTCTTAAGCATGTCTAAAATCAAAATCCCCACCTTTTTTTGTAACTATTCTTTCAAACAGTAATGGTAAAAGGTTTATTTTTACTGCAGACTTTGAATTTATTATGCAAAATACTCCCTGACTGCCTATTTTCCCTAAAATTTTAAGATAATTTTAGGCCCAGTTTGCCTGAGCAGAAACTGATGGTTAACATTCCAAATCACACCATAATTAAACATGTGTCCTTGTAATTGTTTCAAAAACATAGTTAGACAATTAAAATTTCTTTTGCCAAGGAATATATGAGTCCACTTGCCTAGTCCAGTAAAAAAAGTAAATGGAACAATTTGGAGTAAACCCCTCACCATTTCCAAATTTGGCACAGCTTACACTTCAGTAAGAAATACCATACATTGCTATGCATCCCACTGGGTAATGGATAAATGCATTAAAAATGAAAATATCCAGCTGGGAACAGCCTTACATAATTTAAAACAACCTGAAAGATATCAATTAAACCTAAAGGATCAGCTGTAACAACTACACTTATTTCAAAATATAGCTGCAGATTCTATGTCAATGGATTTAAAAAGAGATTGCATCTAATTAAATAGAAATAAAACATTTCTTGACAATGATAAAACTTGTAAATCTTACCTTCTTTTTAGCACTTCTACCAGTCTCTGGAAGGGGAAAATGGTCTGATAGGAATTTACCCAGAGCATCCAAGAGTTCTTCTTTAACTGACTTTAGTTGTAAGATTTTATTTTCCAGTTCATTCAATGATCTCATTTTCAAACTAACACAGTAAAAAATTATCAAGAGAATATGAAATTCAATAAAATAATTTAAAAGTCTTTAAGTAAAAAAGTCCCTTATTTTATATTCTTATGAGTTCAACATCTTAAATCACAGGACATAAGCAGATAGGAGCAATATTTTCCATGTTTCAAATATGGATTACTGAGTTATTATTTGATCTATTTAACAAAGAAAGGAGTATATTTTGTTTTCTCATTTGCTCTTACTGATATTTAAATTCTTCAGTATTGTCCTGGTTTCATCTGGGATAGAGATAATTTTTCTTCTTAGTATCTAGAATAGTGCAGTGCTTTGGATTCAGTATGGGATTTGGTATCAGAATGCTGATAATGCACTGATGTTTTCAGTTGTTGCTAAGAAATCAAGCACTTCCCAATTCCCCATGTCCTGTCCATGCATGGGTATACAAGAAGCTGGGAGGGGGCAGAGCCAGAGCCCTGGACCCAAACTGGCCAGTGAAATACTCTATTATATAATGTCATGCTCAGTATACAGAGGAGGGTTGGCCAGGAAAGGGGGTTCTCTCTCATTTCTGGGGGATCTCGGTCTTCTTGGGACCACTAGCCAGGAACAGGCTGGGTATCAGTTGGCGGGTGGTGAGCATTGTGCGTTGCCCATTTGCACTTCCTATTATTGGTTTGGGTTTAGGTTTTTTTTCCAATTCCAATTATTAAATTGTTTTTATCTCAACCTACAAGTCTCCCTTTACCCCTCCAATTAACTTCCCATACCCCAGGAGCAGGAGCAAGCATCTCTGTGGTGTTTGGCTGCTGACCAGGTTTAAGCCACAATGGTCCTTTCTGCCACCCAATGTGGGGCTTGAAGGTTGGAGATAACAACAGATCTGGCCAGAGTGTATTAAAACAAATTTGCTATAAGCATTCAATATATTGGCTTATCAGTTGCTGGTAATAAGGTTAATTTATTGGCTCCTAGGGTTGTGGCACTCGTTCTTAGAGCTGTGCTATGCATCACTTCACTTGCCGTATGTAGTTCCTGTGCTGCTGCTGATGATCACCCATGGGAGGTGGATTACGATTTTTGTTTTGCTGTACTATGTAATACTGTTTTATGGCACAATAGAGTTGTTGGTCCCAAGATTAGTCCGCTGTTTGTACTCAGCATTGTACTTAAGGGGTCATCTTGCAGAAAGGGTTAATAATTCCACCCTTTAACTTTTCTCCTTGGAGAGCCAATCCATGGGGGAAACACTTCCCTTCACCTTCCCTTCTCCTACAGGCTACTTACAATAGTATTTGAAAATTTTGGACATTTTGAAAATCCTTGAGATGTTTATATTAACATGGTCATCTTACTGCTGGGAACCAGCGTGCTCCTGCATGTGGTTCAGATTTTGTTCAGGGTTAAGCAACTATTTAAGAGTATCACCCAGAAGTCTACCTCAAGGCTGGAGAGTTATCAGTAGCAGGATGTATAAGATAGCACGGGCAAGTACCTAGGACAGTGGGCACCTCCAATGTTTTGGAACTTCTCCCCTGAATAAGTGCAGAATCCTGAAAAAACAGTGAAATATTTGGAAGAAGTATTCTGTCACCGTGCTAATTCCAGAGAGACACAGATGATTGCAACATGCTGGGGCCTGGCCTGTGCCTACCAAACTCTGTTCAACACTATTCAGTACCCTGAATATGGTTTAAACCACAACAAATATAAAACCACTGTAGAAATACCTTTTTGTGGAAAGTTGTCCAACTTGGGTGTTTGCCTTTCTCTGAAAGGCATATAGTAGCTGCTCCTGTTCCTCATACCACTGCTGTTCTCTTTGAAACATGAAAAGTAGGAAATGGCACAACAGATAAATAGTTTTCCTGGACAGTCAAAAAAAAGTGCAGTACAAAAGCTTATGGCATTCAGAAGTCCAAATTATTGTATTACCTTTTTAGATCTTCTTCCAGTTGTTTATTTTTTGACTGAACTGTTGATAGCACCATTTCAAGCTGATTCTTTACTTTCTGCAACTATAAAAAACAAACCTACAGTTTGCAGATAGCCCAGTCTGTGCTATTTGTTCTATGTAAGGTTACATCTGTAAATCTGGTAAAGAGGGCCAAAATTATCTGGAATTTCTTAAGAAATATGGCTACAGAGTGACACACCATTTTTAAATCCAGTTGGAGCTATTTAAAATGTTACTGTCACCAGCTGCTCATTAGTGTCTTACTGAAGCTCTGTAAAATAGTTGATTTTACCTGAAGCAGACTATGGAGCATACACGTGAACTTCTCATCTTATGAAAGACTGAGAAGAAAACATCTGTAGCACCAGGGCTGCATTGTTTAAATCACTGCAGCTGCTTGCAAGAATGAATCTGTGCTAATAGCACCAACATAAAATATAGAACACTCAGAAAACAAAGATGCTGCAAAGAAAGACTAATTACATCCATGAACTAAATGGTCATCAGTGATATGGACATATCTGGGAGAGAAAGGAGGGAGAAACAAAACTACTGCAGCCAGAAGCTATATGCACTGCTAAAGACAGGGTATAGTGGACTCTCAGTGGACTAGGTCTTTCATTAGTGCGTTATGTTCTACAAAGTAGTATTTCTAATAGTTTATGGTTTTTTAATATAAATCTATGATTTGGATGATTTTGTCTCCTACCATAAAAACTATGAAAACTTTTACATTTACCTCAAAGAAATAAAAATTGTGAAAATATTATACGGAAGCAAATATTAGCTATGTATGCAACATCTGAAAAAAAATTTGAATCCTCAACAAAATAGGCCGCAAAATGGGATATCAGTTCAAATATGTCATACCAATACAGTCAGATGAATGTGTGTAACCAAACAACATGTTAACTGTGATCCTTAACAGCAGTTGGGTACTAGAGGGAGGAAAGCTGCTAGGAAGAAGAAAACCAAAATGTTGTTTGGGGTTTTTTAAAGCCATAGTAATAGGAACATTCTCAGGTCATGTTGCATACCAATGTCCAATTAATTTAATGTAATGGTACCCCTAAGATATTATTGATTTGCTTTCTTCCAGGGCTGGAAGAACTCAACAAATTATTGCCACAGAACTCTAGAGTTAAGAATACTGACTCTTCTGTGTAACATGTAATGTTACATTATTTTAGATCAAGTATGAAATGCAATATATAAAAAAATATTGTTTAAAACATCATTCATTGCAACTAGGAAATTTTAGTAGTTATAATATAGGGGAAGAAAAACAATAGAACAACAATGGCTGAAGAAACTTATACAGTATCTTAGCAGTAATCCAATACAGGAGTAGTCATAGGAAAAAGCAGCATTGTATATACTTTCTTCATTTTTTTTTCCCAAGAAAATGTATCATCCCTTAACAAACAAAAATCCTTACCTCTTCTTTTCCTAATGATAGCAGTACATCCGGATTGGTAGAAATTACTGAAAAATAAAATTAATTGGGTTTTTTGCATTGGATGATATAGGCTTGTTTATACTGCAAAGCAGCCTGGCTAGAGAGAAATTTGCATAGCCTCGAAAAAACTAACTTGGCTGTCAGCAGCAGTCCACCACATCTTGTGGTGTCCTGCTGTGCTAACCTACTGTTATGTTTCAGCAAGTGAAATCAGACCAAAAGAAGTGTGGTGTTAATGCTTCTGCATTATTTTTCATACCTGAACTAGCTTAGATATATAGATTTAATTACATAATACTGAAATGCGAAGTACAGTCATACTTCAAGATAAGCAAGACTGATTTTTCCAGTGGAATGGATTCCATCATCATTACCAATGTGGACAATGAAATTCTTCCAGTCTTCCAATTCTTTGTTAAACAGCCTCCCAAATGCTTGGTCAGGATTGTATAACCTATCAGATTTAAAGAACTTAAAAAGCACATCACTATTCTTACTGTTCACAAGAGCAGTCATGTGTAGGGAGATTAAAGGCCCAGCAAAGCCAATATCCTAACTCCAACCCTGTCCAAGGGAAAGTAGGGTACTATTCAAGGATGTAGTAATGTTTTCCCATAATGCTTCTGCAAAATGCAGTGATTTATGGCTCATGGATTTTCTGAATAAGAAGTTCATTGTTGTATTTGATAGTCTTCAATGGACTCCAATCTGTTCTCAGTTCCGTGTGAACTTGCAGCATCTGCATAAACATATAACTTGAAAAATTGTGGCGCTGGAATCTATTAACAGGAGAAATGAAAGTTACTCTAACAGTTTTAAATCTTAGTATGACAGGGATATTTTTTGTCCAGGCTTTAGCTCAATCTCAAATATTAAAAATAATTACTTCAATAAAAGCTTTTCCTTTAACAAAAAGAAAAGCCCTTAACCCTCTTATAAAAGCATTAAATATGTCCGAAATACAATACAGTTGATTTAACACATTAATAAGAGTACTTTTTTTTGTAATTTTATACCTTCACAAATTTTGAGAAGTATTAGACTAGTAGTTCTAAAAGTAGTGTTTGTTCTGAGATTAAAATCTGCAAAACGAGTTTAAAATGCATTAAATTACATGTCACAATAAAACGCCTTTTACTTAGAGAATTACTATTTCTAAATCTTGACACAAAATCTGAGTAGAGTGCCCTCAAATTAAATTTATGTTTAAGAGCTGTGGGAGGTAGTTGTCTATGCTATTATTAGTGCAAGATTTCTTTAATGACATGAATATCCTACATAGAATTAATTGGTGTGCCTTTACTCACATTCACTGTCATGCTTGAAGAAACCCTTACAACTCTTCCCCACGCCACACCCCTTACTATAATTATTGTGAGCTCTTACTACTTGGAGTTTCTACTGCTGTTTTCTAACATGTCTTCATTTTTAGATACCCAAGCCTGAGTATGTACTTCCCATTCAAAATTCACACTGTGGGAGTATCAGAATAGGCTACATCTTCCTAGGAAAGAAATCACTAACCCTAACTTAGTGAAGGAACAGTGCAAATCTAAAATACTGTGACAACACATTTATGGCAGCTGCTACTGTAATGAACACAGGTTGTTCTATCTACTAGAAGTTAATGCTTTTTCAGTTATGAATCAATACACTTGCAAAAATCAAATGTCAAACAGGATTGCCTAGTGATACATAGTATAATTACTAAGCAAAATACTACCAGATGCTAGGAATGTAAAAGCAACTACTACGCACAAGTTTATACAGAAGTTCCTATTAAAATAAGAGGAATCTGGCAGAATACTGATACTTACTAAAGAAAAATAGAAATTATGCAGAGACCACAAATGTTTTATAAGGTTACTTCCACTTCCTTATTTCGCAAATGTAAAAGTTAAATTCTACTTTTATGAGCTAAATGCTTGTTAAAAAGTTTTAATTTAGCTGATTTAGCAGCTCTAGAGCTACATAAATAGTACCAGAAATTGAGCAAGAACAAGAGACCAAAGTAAAAGCTTTGAAAAAATAAAATTTGGATTGTGGATTCACGTGTGTTTGCCAATATTGCACTTAAAGAAAAGTAGAGCTGCCAAGTTATAATCTCTGAAAATAAGGTTTAAAATTGAAATGCTGACAGACCCTTATTTACAAAAAATGAACTGTCCATTACTAAAAGCAGAAAACAAGGTAAAAAGACAGCCTGACATTCATGCATTATCAGTAAGTTGTATGAAATTATTGTTTCTGCTATTCCTATTTAGATAAATGCAGACAATGTTTTAAGAAATTCCTCCTTCAAAGCAAACAGTAGGTATAAAGGAGCCAAGACTGACAGAGAAGATGTAAGCACAGAAGACTCCTTATTTTCATATAAGTACTTTAAATCTATTCAAATTCTTAGCAGAAGCTTTTTTTTCATCTGTCAGAAAGGTAGCCAAAAAGGCAAAGCTTTGGCTACAAAATAGTATTTTCATTATAATATGCATAGATCATTTATCTAGTAAAAAAATAAGATTTCTAATAATAAATCTTATTACCTGGGAACAAGGAAGAATAGTTCAGCAAAGCAAGTCAGCAAGCCAATAAAAATAGATCATGCCCCAAGAATATTTTTTAAGCAAATTGCTTAAAGTTTAAAATAATTACGTATTTTAGTAAAGAAACCTAATATCTCCTGGTATTTTACCCAGATAAAAACTTTTAAGTGTTTTCAATTAATTTTCTTTAAGCCAGTATCTTATTTGTGAGCAGCTGCCAAGAACTAGTGTTTCCCAAATTAGTTCAATGTCACACTTTTGATCTACATACTTCTAAGAAGCATTTGAGGCTGAGCACTCTTAAGACAGGCTTACAAAGCACAGGAACTAAAAATTTATTCTAATAGAGCAATAATATCTATTTATAAGAAAGAAAGAACTTTTTTTTCCCCAGTTTTGAGCACTATATCCAGCATATTCATGAACCTGGAAAGATGCCGAAGAATTGACTTTACTGTTCATCTGAAAATGCATTCCAATTTGGCCAAATTACAAAATATTGAAAATTACCATTTTCTGTCTAAAACACATTCCTATCATTTTGTAAACACAAAAACCCCACAGCTGCTTCTGGCACTAAAATATTCAAATGAGTCCATGTATTCATTTAAAGATTAACTAATAAGTTTTACTGGGTTGAAAGGTTCTCAATAGGAGATATAACAATGAGTGCTACCAGAATACTAATGATAGTGTGAACTGTTTATGAGTCTCCAAATGATACATCTGAAAAAACAGATTACTTTACTCACATTTAGATTCTGAATGGGTTTTTTTTCAGTGTCTGGCCACATCAGCCTTCCAACAGTGCAATCAGTCAGCATTAATGCTTATGTACAAAAAGATACTTGAAGAACTGAGGAATTTATACCTTTTGACTGATAATGCCTAACAAATATAAGAACTACCACTTGTCTCAGTGGTTTGTGCTCCTCAGATCAGTAAGCGACCTAGATTCCCATGTTGTTAAAACAAACTGTAGTGTCTTTTACTACCTTTTCTTGACATGAAATCTCTGACCCCTGTTAAATCCAACATAGATACTTTATTACAGTGTAATGGGTTTACCACTAAAGGCTTACTTCAAAGTTTTCAGCTAGTACCTCATAATATAACAAACTTTTGTGAAGCATTAATAAAAAAAAAATTTTAAAAATAGTTAAAAATATGTCTGGGTAAATTATTGTTAATTTATTAGCAATACTTGCAAAAAAAAAAAAAAAAAAAATCAAACAATGTGTCAGCTTCTTAAAAGACAAAACGGATACAAAATTATTTGCCAAAGTAGTTCTGTCCTAAAAAGGAAATAGAAATGAAAGATGGAGAAGAAACTACCACAGAAAGGAGAAACCTGAAAGAGGGTAACAGCATAACAAACTTTTATTTTGCTAGGAGATCTACTACCAGTCATTTTTCTGTTTATATGAATATACCTTACATGGAAGCAGTTACTTACTTTCAGGACTTCTGTTTTGCCATTGATTATGTTCTGCTCTTAAAGCTTTCATTAGCATCCTTGGTAATTGGAAGGAAAGCTGTACAACAAGAAAAGAAGCATCTTTTGAGGTGTGTTGAGTTGCATTGCAGTAAAATGAGATAAAAATTCAATTACTAAACTTATACAGCAGAAAACAAAAAAGAAAATATTACAATAGGCCACTTATTCCTTCCAAAGATTTGAAAATGCACTCACAGAGATCAAGAAATATTTTTATTCTTTTTTTAAAAGGGGGGAGTCAGAAATAGTCGGAGTTGGCATTTTCCCGTGTTGAGGCAGGGGTATTAGCTGTCTTTTTCGATCTGCCAATCCACAGAGGTGTGGCGCTCAGATCACAGCTAATCCATGCAGGAGATTACGACCTTCACGGGAACAAAAGCACAGATGCCAATATGGTGGTTGGCGCTTGCTCAATTTAGTAACTGCGCAATTGCTTTTTATATACCTTCCCATACATCACAAGGTCTTTAATTCCCTATTCTTCCAGTATCTCGTGAGATCTTTACTTCCCTGTTCTTTCCATACATGGCGCGATCTTCCAAGCACCTCTCCCTATACTCCCCCTAATTTTCTCTGTAATATTGGACAATGAGCACAGCTGAAGATGAGCCACTAGAAGCAATGATAGTGCTTCATATCTCCACCCCTCCTTAGATTCATGGTTGATACACATTTAAAGTAAAATGGACTGTGCTTGATATGTGATGACAAAACAAAAGATTGTCTTCTAAAAAAAAAAACCAAAAAAAACCCCAAACAACCAGGAGTCAAATAAATCTTCCATCAAAACAACATCTATAGACTCAACAAAAAATGCTTTAGAACCAGCGCTCTAGCTCACTGTAATCAGTGAAAATATAGGAGCAATAATGAAAAACACTGGTTCAGAAAAGTTTATTACAAAACCCCAGACTAAACAAACAGCTTTTTAAATCTTGTAATTACTTATAAACTGATATGAAATTATGCATACATTTAAATACAACAGGTACTGCTGATAGGGTCAAGCATTCCATAAAAAACACTGCAGACTGCAATTGCCTTTTCATCAACTAAAAAGAGAAAAATATGCTAACAATCATCAGCCAAGTTCTTACACTAAAAATACCAAGAACTGACAACTTAAGCTTAGCTTTTCACTACTCAAAATAACTTCATAAAGTGCATCTTCAAAAGACAGCCTTTTAAAAGAAAGGAAAGCAAACCCAAAGAAGAACAAACCCAAACCAGAAGAAATAATCACCATACAGACATTTCTTATTTTCAGGTGGTGTCATCGCTTTTGCAATGAAGCACTACTCTTGACAGTACCATCAGCTCATTCTTTGTTCCTTTAAACATGATTTCAAAAAGGACGTACAAAACATGCTGGATATTCCAGTAAATGGACAAAAAAACTTTCCAATAAATTCACACTACCATTCAGCAACCTTAAATCAAGGACTGTCTCTTAAAGACAAATGCATCCATCATATTTGAGAAGTCATGGCAGTCCAGCAAAGTTCCCGCTGACTGGAAAAAGAAAAACATAACCCCCACTTTTACAAAGAGAAATAAAGAGGATCTGAGGAACTACAGACCAGTCAGTTCCCACCTCTGTGTCCAGCAGTATTACAGAGTGGATACTCCTGGAAACTATGCTAGGGCACATGGGAAATAAGGAGGTGATTGGTGACAGCCAACACGGCTTCATGAAGGGCAAATCGTGCCTGATCAATTTGGTGGTCTTGTATGACAGGGTTACAACGTTGGTAGATAAGGGAAGAGCAACTGACGTCATCTACCTTGTGCAAAGCATTCTGACACTGTCCTACATGACATCCTGTCTCTAAACTGGAGAGACATGGATTTGATGGATGGTTGTACTCAATGAGTTGCAATCAACAGCTTGATGTTGAAGTGGACAGCAGCGATGAGTGGTGTTCCTCAGGGGTCAGTGTTGGGACCAGTGTTGTTTAACATCTTTGTTGGCAACACAGTGGGATGGAGCGCACTCTCAACAAGTTTGCTGATGACACCAAGCTGTGTGGTACAGTAGACGTGCTGGAGGGAAGGGATGGCATCCAAAGAGACCTGGACAAGCTTGAGAGGTGGGCCTGTGCAAACCTCATGAAGTTCAATAAGGTCCTGCACCTGGGTCAGGGCAATCCCAAGCACAAATACAGGCTGGGTGATGTGTGGATTGAGAGCAGCCCTGTAGAGAAGGATTTGGGGCTACTGGTGGATGAAAAACTGATTGTGAGCCAGTAATGTGTGCTTGCAGCCCAGAAAGCCAACTGTATCCTGGGCTACAAGAAGTTGACGGAGGTGATTCTGCCCCTCTACTCTGCTCTCATGAGACCCTAGCTGGAGTACTGTGTCCAGCTCTGGGGCCCCCAACATAAGAAGGACATGGACCTGTCACAGAAGATCCAGAGAAGGCCATGAAGATGATGGGGGGGGGTGGAGCACTTTCCTTATGAGAACAGGCTGAGAGAGTTGGCGTTGTTCAGCCTGAAGAAGAGAAGGCTCCAGGGAGACCTTATAGCAGCCTTCCGGTACTTAAAGGGGGCCTACAGAAAAGAATTGGGGAGACTCTTTATCAGGGAGGGTCGTGATAGGACAAGGGATAACAGTTTTACCTTAGGGCAGATTTAGATTAAAGAAATTTTTTCCTGTGAGGTGGTGAGACACTGGAATAGGTTGCCCAGAGAAGCTGTAGATGCCCCCTCCCTGAACATGTTCAAGGCCGGGTTGGACAGGGCTTTGAGCAACCTGGTGGAAGGTGTCCCTGCCTGTGGCAGGCGTGTTGGAACTATAATCTTTTCAGGTCCCTTCCAACCCCAAACATTCTATGATTCTATGAAATATGTACATCCTGCCTGGTAACTCTTATGCCTGGTGTACATTCCTAGCAAAATATGCTGCTAAGTAATCCATTACATCATAGACCAGAATCAGTCCCCAGACTTAAAGGATAAAACCAGGAGAGTACTTTGCAATATTACAGTCTTGAGGTGATTAAGTAGTGAACATTAGTGATAAGGTCAACAGCAAGGAAATCCATAGCTTCTTGGTCAGCTACAATGAAAATAGAATAATTCCAGCTGGAAGGACCTTCAATGATCACAGAATCATTCAGGTTGGAAAAGACCCTTGGGATCATCAAGTCCAACCATCAGCCCTATTCTACAAAGTTCTCCCCTACACCACATCCCCAACATCTCATCTAAATGACCCTTAAACACATCCAGGGATGGCAACTCCACCACCTCCCTGGGCAGCCTATTCCACTGTCTGACCACTCTTTCTGTGAAAAATTTTTTCCTAATGTCCAGTCTGAACCTCCCCTGATGCAGTTTAAAGCCATTCCCTTTTGTTTTATCACAAATTACCTGTGAGAAGAGACCAGCACCAACCTCTCCTTCATGTCCTTTCAGAGAGTTGTAGAGAGTGATGAGGTCTACCCTCAGCCTTCTCTTCCTCAAGCTGAACAGTCCCAGCTCCTTCAATCTCTCCTCATACGATTTTTCTCCAGGACCTTCACCAGCTTCCTTGCACTCGCTCCAGCACCTCAATATCTCTCCCAAACTGAGGTGCCCAAAGCTGGACACAATACTCAAGGTTTGGCCTCAGCAGTGCAGAGCATAGGGGGACTAGAACATCCCTACTTCTGCTGGTCACACTATTTCTAATACAAGCCAGGATGCCATTGGTTATCTTGGCCACCCAGGCACACTGCTGGCTCATGTTCAGTTGGTTGTCAACGAGAACCCCCAGACCCTTCTCTTCCAGATAGCTCTCCAGCCACACCTCCCCAAGCCTGTAGCCATGCAGGGGGTTGTGGCCCACGTGCAGGACTTGGCACCTGGCCTTGTTGAAGCTCATCCCGTTAACATTGGCCCACCGATCCAATCTATCCAAGTCTCTCTGTAGAGCCTCCCTATCCTCATGCAGATCGACACTCCCGCTTACCTTGGTGTCAGTTGCGAACTTACTGATACACTCTGTGTCCTTATCAAGATCATCAATAAAGATGTTGAACAGAAATGGTCCCAACACCGAGCCCTGAGGAACGCCACCTGTGACTCGTTGCCACCTGGATTTAGCTCCATTGACCACCACTCTCTTGGACCACCCAGCCAGTGCTTGACCCAGCAGATCATTCGCTCATCCAGGCCATGGGCAGCCAGTTTTCCTATGAGAACTCTATGAGGAACTGTGTTGAATGCTTTTTGAAAATCCAGGTAGACAATATCCACAGCTTTTCCCTCGTCCTATAAGCAGGTCACCCTGTTGTAGAGGAGATCAAGTTTGTGAGGCAGGACCTGCCTTACATAAACCCATGCTGACTGGGCCTGATCCTCTGGTTGTCCATTATATGACTTGTAATGGCACTCAAGATGACCTGCTCCATGACCGAGGTCAGACTGACAGGTCTATAGCTTCCTGGATCCTCCTTTCTGCTTCTCTTGTGGATGGGTGTCACATTTGCCACCCTCCAGTCTAATGGGAACCTCCCCAGTCAGCCATCACTTCAGGTAAGTCATGGAAAGTGGCTTGGCCAAATCCCTCAGCACCCTTGGGTGTAACCCATCCAGTTCCACAGACTTGTGTGCATCCAAGCGGTGTAGCAGGTCTCTGACCAACTCCTCTTTAATTGTGCTGACTTCATTCAGCTTCCCATCTCCCAACTCTTGAGGCTGAGTGTCCAGGGAACAGCCAGTTCCACTGCTAGAGACTGATGCAAAATAGGCATTGAGCACCTCAGCCCTTTCCTCATCCTTTGTTACCATGTTTCCATCTGCATTCAGTAAAGGAGGGAGATTTTCCCTAATCCTCCTTTTGTTGTTAATGAATTTATAGAAATATTTTTTATTATCTTTAACAGCTGTAGCCAAGCTGATCTCTAGCTGCGCTTTGACTCTCTTAACATTCTCCCTGCATAGCTTCACTACATCTTTACAGTCTTCATGAGAGACCTGCCCCCTCTTCCAAAGGTAACAGATTCTCCTTCTGTTCCTGAGATCCAGCCAAAGGTCCCTGTTTAGCCAGGCCGGTCTTCTTCCCTGCCTGCTTGGTTTTTGGTACATGGGAACAGCCGGCTCCTGTGCCTTTCAGACTTCTCTCTTGAAGTATGTCCAGCCTTCCTGGTCTCCCAAATCCTTCAGGGCAGCTTGCCAAGGGATTCTGTCAAACAATCTTTTGAACAGGTCAAAATTTGCCCCCCAGAAGTCCAAGGTGGCAGTTTTACTAACCCCTCTCTTGGTTTCTCCAAGGATCGAAATCTCAATCATCTCACGATCACTGCACCCCAGACGGCCTCCACCCTTTACCTCTCCCACAAGCTCTTCCCTGTTCAGAAGAAGCAGCTCCAGGAGGGCACCTTCCCTGGATGGTTCCTTCACCAGCTGGGTGAGGAAGTTATCCTCCACACATTCCAGGAACCTCCTGGATTTTTCCCTTTCTGCTGTGTTGTGTTCCCAGCAGATACCTGGGAGGTTATCTGCTGATCATCTAGTTCAATTGTCTGACCACTTCAGGGCTGACCAAAAGTTGAAGCCTGTTACTGAGGGCATTGTTCAAATATCTCTTAAACAGGCTTGGGGCATCAACCACCCTTCTAGGAAGACTGTTCCAGTGTTTGATGATGCTCATGGTAAAGAAATGCTTCCTTATGTCAATCCAAACCTAACCTGATGCAGCTTTGAACCATTCCCTTGTGTCCTGTGATGGAGATCACCAGCTTCCTCTCCATTTTCCCTCCTCAGGAAGCTGCAGAGAGCGATGAGGTCGTCCCTCAGCCTTCTTTTCTCCAAACTAGACAAACCCAGAGTCCTCAGCCACTCCTCAGAGGATGTGCCTTCCAGACCTTTCATCAGATTTGTTGCCCTCCCCTGGACACATTCAAAGACCTTCACATCCTTCTTAAATCATGGGCACAGCACACAGTTAAATCACTGTACACAGCACTCAATGTGAGGCTGCACCAACGCTGAATACAGAGGGATAATCCCCTCTTTTGACTGGCTGATTACACTGTGTTGGATGCACCCCAGGATGTAGTTTGCCCTCTTGGCTGCCAGGGCAGGCTGACTCACACTGAGCTTAGTGTCACACCAGCACCCCCAGATCCCTTTCTGCAGGGCTGCTCTCCAGCCACTCTTCTCCCAGTTTATACCTGTGCCCAGCATTACTCTGTCCCAGGTGCAGAATATGGCATTTGGACCTGTTAAATTTCATACCATTAATCACAGTCGAATGCTCCAATCTATCTAGATCCCTCTACAGGGCCTCTTGACCCTCAAAAGAGCCAAGAGCACCTCACAGATTGGTATCATGAACTTGTTAATGGTGCATTCAGCTCCTGCATCCAGATTGTTGATAAATGAATGGAACTGGCCCTAAGATTTAGCCCTGAGGAACACTGTTGGTGACTCATCACCAGCCAGATGTAGCCTCATTCACCACAACCCTTTGAGCCCTGCCTTCAGCTGGTTCTTCACCCAGTGCACCATGAACTCATTCATCTCACAGTTGGACAACTTGTCCAGGAGGATACTGTGAGGGACAGTATCAAAAGCCTTACTAAAATTCAGAGAAATACACCCACCACCTTCCCTTCATCCACTGGGTGCCTGATCTTCTCATAGGAGATCAAATTAGTGAAACTATTTTGTAGAGAATAAAAAAAATATTCTTACCTTGGCATCTGACATTCGAGATGTGCCCATTTCTAGACGCATTAGCTTGCTCTGACACTTGGTAGAAAACAAACAACATTTACTTACTCTTGACTTTTGTAAGAAATAAACATGATGCTTAGAAATTCCAACAGAAACTGTTTAATATAGAAATAAAAGAGTTTTGACTTGGCTCCTATTAGATCCCTCAGACCCTGACCCAGAACAGCAAATTTAAAAATATTTCTAAATCATACCACAGTAAAACAGTAGAAATTCAATTAATTGAAAAGCAGAAAAGTAGCAGTTAACAAAAGATGATTTGCGGAAAAAGGCATGTTATGAGGGAAAAGTTCATATGAGAGACACCGAGCAGATAAAGAACATGAGAAACCAGGAAGAGTGAGTCATGGACAAGGCTGAATAGGGAAGCTGCTGAAGAAGTTAACACACTTGCTGCTACTATTCTGGCTCTCCAAACAGAGCAATTGCATTATAATACACATCTTCAGTTTTAACTCACTTAGGGTGATATACTGTAAACTTCAAAAATGCTTTGATTTTTAGAAGTGCACTACGTCAGCTATTACTGCAATGAGATGTATATCAAGTCTAAAATTCAGGCCACCACAGATATCCAAGGCTTCAACAGGAGACACCTGCTAAACTCTCCCTTGTTTTGTAACTGTCAGCCATTTAACCTGCTCCGTGACAGAACAAGATGTATTCTACTGAGCAGTACTTTGGAAACATTGCTGTTAATGTTTTGGAAGTAAAATACAATACATGATTTCTCCAATAAAAACTGCTAATGCTGACACACAATCATTGGGACATTATATCATAAACCATATAACCTAGGAGCTAATTCAATTACTATTAGTTCTTTAAACTTTTTGCTGAATATGCATGCATCCAGGATGCAACAATTACAAAGTAGTAAAAATCCTACTGTTTATACCAGCTTCCAAAAATAACACATATTATCATTTCTTGTGTTGTTTTGAGGATGCTGGGATGGAAATACAAGATAACAAAGATTGTCAATTAAATTAAAAAAAAGAAACATTATATTCCCTTCTAATCTGAAAAATTTCAAAGACATTGTGGTGCCAAACAAAACTTCTCTTGATAATTTATTACATTACTTCAGAAACACAGACACAGGATTCCCTGACACTTACTGAATATTAAGGTAAGTTCACATGTAACAACAAATAAAGTCACATTAGTCTTTTAAAATCTAATTATTGCACACTGGGTTGTCTGTACTTTGTTCTACTTCAAGTTTGAAAGTATTTTTACTTCAGTTTCTGATACTTTCAAGGCTTTGAATCTACAAATCAGAACTCAAGCACACAGCATATAAATACCACATAAAATTGAGTGAGGCAATTAAGACTCCAAAATATTATTTATAACATGAGTTTGCAACAGACTCCGCAGAATCTTATAGGATGCATACCATCCCTCAGAACAACTAAATGTTTATCTTTCCTAGATTCCTGTAAATAAATATAACTCACTCTAAAACATTATTATTAGAAAATTGGATCATATATTGAGAGAGATAAATTTTATTCTTGAGAATGCAAACGTCAGCTTGCATAAGTGTATGCTGACATCAGCATTCTTCTAAGCTTCTTTCTCATCTTATTCTCTCTCCTTGAAGATCCAAAGTACTTGATCCACCAGTTGAATCCCATCTTGCATAAGGCTATAGAGAGAAGGACCTCAAGTCTCAGTGTGCTGGTACTAACAGAACACAATTGTTTCATCTTCCCTAGTTTTAACATATATTCCCATTCTATTTAACTAAATAATAATATCATCACACTGTAAACAAAGTTGGCACTGCAAAGCATTCTTCAACCCTGCTATTTGTTCTACCTTTGGCCTTTGTGAGGATATTTTTTTTCCCTTTTTTTTTTGTTTTCTTTCTTGTTGTGGTGGCTTTTTTGGATGCAGTAAGGTAAGCATGCAGTGAAGGATGGAGAGATGAACAAAAAAACAATAAGGAAAGTTTACAACAAATCTAGCTTACTACTTGTGACTTGCATACCTCTTCCATCTGCTTCCAAATACTCTCACATTCTTCAATGAGCTCTCTCTTGCCCTCCAGAGAACAGACTGACTCAGTAGTGATTTCTGGTAAATATTCAGCCTATTAACAAGCAAATAGAACAGTTATTTAAATCTACAATAATTATTAACAGGTTACTGAATCATACCTGCTACTTCAAGTCAAATATGTAAGAGAGAAATCCCACTGAATCCAAACCTTTTAGTTAACTCCTCTGTATTTCTAGATAGTACCCAATCATGCAGTAAAATGAGCTAACAACGCTACTGTAGTAACATCTGAAGACACTAATAATGGTTCTTAAAATCAATCACAAAATCCTTAATTTTCAACACTTCTTTGATTACCTGAAATGGTGTGGGGTTTTTTTAACAACTTTAATACAGAAACAATAAAAGAATCTCACATCTACAAAACCATACTTTTCTTCCATGTAGCTGCAAAGTTCTTAGGCATAGTTACTTCTGTCTTCCCATAATCCTCATCTATTTCTCCTTATCACAACGAGTTCAGAATCTTTTCGATTAAAAAATCAAAGTGCTCTGGAGGTTATTAGAAAAACAGACAAAATAACCTGAAAGATATGCAGGTAAGAAGGAGAGAGGACACCAGGACAGTCAAGAGAGAAAAATTAACTCAAGTCAAATTAACAAGTTTGAGAAACTGTTGTGTCAGATAGAAACACATACAAATTTAGAAATTAAGATTAAATGTATAAAGAGATACATGAACAACAACAGCAATTAAGAGGGGGAAAAAACAAAAAGGGACAAAATGGCAGTCAAAGGTAATTTTTAATGTAAAACAACCAACAGGAATTTCCTAGATGTACAAGATGCAGGAAGCATTTAAAAATACGCCAAATACTTAAGAGATTAAAAACAGACATTCAAAGAGATAGTGATCTAGAGAAGATATAAACACATCTGCTTTCTTAATGAGGCACAAAGTCCTACCTCAACCTTTTGCTCATTATCATAACAAAAATGCAGCATCAGAGGAAATGATGTCAAAAACCAGAATAATATAAAAGGAGTGAAATACTCAACTAGTATCCTCGAAGTTCAAGTATGCCATAGCAGTGTGGCTAAGAAAAAAATCAGAACGCCTTACTGAACACTGGAAGTATTCTAGAGAACTGAAAGGTAGCAATACTTCTACTAAGCCTTCCTGACAAATTTCTTGCATCAATAATTAAAAACGGAATCTGGATTGCCATGATGTGATAAGGTATAATAAGCGCAGTTCTTGAAAAGGAAAACCATCATCTTTTTAAGTGTCTTGGAATGTCTCCATAACATAAAAGAGAACTAGCTCACAAAATGTACTGATTTCTGAAATGCTTCCAGTGAAGTCCTCCACAGAAGGTTAATAAAGAAATGAAGCAGTCTTGAGATGCAGTGTACTTTTTTTTCCTCAGACAAAAAACTGTCAAGGGCATAGACAACAAGCCTGAACTTATGATTTTCATCATGGCAAAAAGGTTCAGCAGCAGAACTAACAAGGCCTGAATGAAAAAAAAAAAAAGTGGAGAAGGAAAAAAAAGAAGACATAACCTTTGAAAATTTAAAAGGGGTCTTGGGGTAGGAATAAAAAGTCCTATGCCCTTATGGTCCCCTGCAATAATACAGTCCATCAACATGAAAACAAACAAAAAGCAACCCACAAAAATGGTTAAAGAATTATTGTTGACCTTCAAAATTTCCATGACTGATTTCACACAAAGTTTCAAAATGTACACGTTACAAGGAGATACTACAGGCCTCTGTATGTTAATTACCTTCCAAGTATCACATTCAGATGTTTTTTCTTGCATCCTCACAAGTTTTCCTTACAGCCTCCCCTAATTTTGTATGGTAAATTACATTTCCATTCGTACACTGTATCCAAAAACTGAAGGCATTTTTTGCATCTCATCAAAATTAATGCCTTCCAGTTTCAATACTATTCCTTTACTTCGTTTTAGAGCTACATAATTAGGTAAAAAATAGACGCAGCAACAAGTGTGCATTGCAGGCTCTCTGCCAGCCAAGCAAACAGGCAAGCTTTATGGGAAATGTTTCATGATGACAAATACAAAATAACCACTGGAAGAAATTCAGAGATGAGGAAACAAAGTAAAAGTAGCCCTGGGAAAACTGATGAGGGGAAGAAAAGAACAAGATCCAGAAAACAGGGAATTCACCTTAGGAAGAAAAAAAATAAAATTAGGATACAAATAGCATCACAAAAGCGGTTAGACAGGGAGCTCCCACTGTCACAGAATCACAGATTCATCTAGATTTAAAAAGATTTCAAAGATCACCTAGTGCAACCATTAACCTAACATTGACAGTTCCCAACTCCACCATATCCCTCAGCGCTATTTCGACCCTACTCTTAAACCCCTCCAGCCCGCTCGCTTCCCAGCGCCCCTATAGGCCGCGAACCCCCGCCCTAAGGGAACCCCCAGCTCCCTGGGGCCGGCAGTGACGCTGAGGGCAGCCAAGCGGCCCGCGGGGCAGAGACGGGTGGCAGTGGCGGCCACGATGGCCTCCCCGCCCATTACCATGGCGTCTCGGCGCGGCGCTCCGCTCCGTCCCGCCCGACAGGGCCCGCGCTCTCTGCTGCGAGCGCTACTCACTCATTGGCTCTGCCCGGCCGTCAATTCTTGGGCGCCCGGCACGGGGTGGGGCGAAGGCGGGAGGCGTCGCGGTGAAGTGACGTTGCCCAGCATGGCGTCGTCCGACTCGGAGCGCAAGCGAAAGCAACATGAGATGGTGGGCGGCAGCGAGGAGGTGAGGGAGGAGGAGGTGGTGGCAGTGGCGGCAGACGACGACAAGAACAACAACAATAACAACGATGATGATGAGGAGGAGGAGGAGGATGAGGAGCGCTGGGTCGGGCCGCTCCCGGGGGAGGCCACGCAGGCGAAAAAGAGGAGAGGTAACGGGAGGAGCGGAGCCCACGGCCGCCCGCCTGTCCTTTCTCTGGGGAGCGAGCGGCCCGGGAGCCGTCTGTGGCGCTGCCCCGGGCAGGGTCTGAAGCGGTGGGAAGGCGGCTGTGGGGTGGGGCTGCCTGGCAGCTGGGCCGCCCTCGGGAGGTTCCCTCGCGCCCCGGATTAGGAGAGGAGGACGGGCGGGTGGAAGCCCGTTGCCTGAACTGGTGTCTCATACGTAAAATGTTTGGACTGTGCAGTAACGCCTCGGGTGCGAAATTACGGGCCGGGAACACCGTATTTCTGCTTTCTTTGGAGGACACCCTTAGGCTAAGAGGCCCTGCTTTGCAGGGTTTGTATTGCTGGAGCCGTGCTTTTTGCAGCTGTGGAGTTAATTGTGTTCTGGATCGCTGCCCTGAGATGGGCAAGTAGGAGAAGCCTCTAGTTTGTCTTCTGGCATATGGTTTTTATGTACCTAGTAACTCAAAGCACTCTGAGTATTATTGTAATGCTCAGCAGAGGCAAACCTGCCAGTTCAGTAACAAGTGCCATTGCGTGTTACAGTTAGAATGTAAAAATCGGACAGAAGCAGAAAATGAAGTCATTTTAGGTGGGCCAGTTAAACAGTGATCTAGATAGGTGCTAACATTTAAGAATATAAGCTACAGTACCTGTGTGGGACCTTGAATCTGGCTTAACAACAACAGGCATACATTTGGTTTGGTAAGAAAATAAGGTTATCTGTTTACTGGCAGTGCCCTGGTTTCAGCTGGGATAGAGGTAATTTTTCCTCTTAGTAGCTAGAATAGTGCAGTGCTTTGGATTCAGTATGGAATTTGATAAAACACTAATGTTTTCAGTTGTTGCTAAGAAATTAAGTGCTTTCCAAATCCCCATGTCCTGCTCATACACATGTATACAGGAAGCTGGGAGGAAGCAGAGGAAGAGCCCTGGACCCAAGTTGGCCATTGAAATATTCCATATCATGCAGTGTCATGCTCAGTACATAAACAAGGGTTGGCTGGGAAGGGGGGGTTGTCTATTGCTTCCAGGATTGCAGTTATGGGATCTTGGTATTTCAGGATTGCTGGCTGGGAATGGGTAGGGTATGAGTTGGTGAGTGGTAAGCAATTGCATTGTGCGTTACCTGTTTGTACTTTCTATTATTGTTACTGTTTTATGGTTTTACAAGGTAATAGTTACTCTAAAAGGCAGCATCTCTATGGGTTAAAGCAGAGTTTGAATGGCTTTAGTCTACTGATAATATGTAAGTCTGAGTATAAAGCCACAGTGGAAACCCCTTTTATTATGTTTGCACAAAATCCTAGTATAGTCTTGACTAAAATGGGAGTAAGCTATTCAAGCGTTAAGGGAGAACAGAAGCTAGATGTACTTTTGTGGGAAAAAAATATTTCCTGATTTTTCTTTTTGTTCTGTTTAGTTCTTGAATTTGAACACGTTTATCTTGAAAATCTACCATGTGCTTCGATGTATGAACGCAGTTACATGCACAGAGATGTCATTACACATGTAGCATGTACTAAGTAAGTGTCTTTTTCCACTGTTTCTCCCTGTCAGAGATGTATTTTTGTATGCACTGGGAAGTTTTCACTGTAGAAGGTTAATAATGGAAAGTTAGGATGTTCAGAGGAGCTGTTTTTAAAAAAAAACCCTAAGTGCAAATGAACGGGCTTACTGAGAAACAAGATAAAAATTGTTTAAATAGACTAAAAGATGATCTTAAAATCCTTATTGCAGTGTGCAGCCCATACTACAGGAATAAGAGCAGCTGACTGCATCTGAACAAAACGGGATTCAGCATAGCTGCACAGATTGAGGAGATAGCGTTCTTCTCTTTTATGTGTCTCTAGTAACTACTGTGAAACCAGGCCTAAAAAGGTAGTAAAATTTATATAGTCATAAAGGATGCTATTATAGATTTCTTCAGTTCAGGCTGTTGACTTTTCATAGGTTAATCCAGAGTGCATTAAAATACTCGTTTGCTTTTCTGGGAGTAATAATACCCATTCAAACAGATTGTCACAGTAATTTTTTTTAAAGTTCATTCTCTGCACAGTGTTAATTATAGTGTAAATTACTGCCCAGTGTGAAAGTGCATGATGTGGGTATCTTTCTTTTTTTTATTATTTCTCTTTTGTCATTGTAGGACAGATTTTATTATAACAGCCAGTCATGATGGACATGTAAAATTCTGGAAAAAAATAGAAGAAGGGATTGAGTTTGTTAAACACTTCCGGAGTCACCTAGGTGAGAAGTTGCTTTTTCTTCTCTAAACGACCTCACTTTTTCCTGTCCCTTTCTCTTAGTCATTTGAGGAGGGAGTACAAGTAAAGAGGAGAGGGGTTCTGGAATTCATTTACTGCAGTCAGGGATTAAATGATGTCAACCTATCTTCCTTTATTCCCCTGTCCTGTTAAGAAGGTTTTGCTCCTAAACTGCAGGAGGGATAGGGTGAGAATAAAACATGTGGCACTCCTTCTGCACAGATTCCTTACATCCTTTGCATCCCTTTGTGCCCCACCTGTGGGGAGATTGTCTATGACATAAAGAAACTGTTTAAAAATACGTGAACAATGTACATAAAATCCAGATAAATTTAAAAACATGTCACTTTAAGGTTACCTTCATCCATTATTTTTCTCCCTTTTTTTACCTGCAGTATGGAAAAAAATGATTATTTTCATCTGAAATTATTGCAACTTTAGAGTAAATTCTGCAATTAAGAATTAATAATTTTAACCCAGTGTTCTGAGTTAGTAAGTGCACATAGCTCTTCTGTACTGTGCTAAGCGTTAAATAGGCTGGACAAGTAATGAGCTTCTCATTGCTATTAGAAATGATATGCCTGGTGGAAAAAACTGGTTTGATATGCAGACTGTTACAATTAGAAAAATATATAATATTAATAATAAAAGTACTATTTCTTTTTAGAGTTACTGAAAAATATTGTGGTGGATTATTTATCTTAACTCTTAGCTTCTCATTATACACAGAAACAAAATGTGAGAGCAAAGCCTACCAAGCAAAATTAAATATTGTGAAAAACTTAAGGAAGGCTCAATTGCAGAGTAATTTTGACTATTATGTGTGTTAATAGCAAGACTGTAAGAGTCTATAGAGTTCTACTGCTTTTTCTGTTTTGAGAGATGCAAGTCGAGTAGCACATCATTTTTTTTTACCATATCATAATGTTGTTCTCAATTTTTCTAAATAAACATATAAAATTAAAATAATTAAATTACAATATTTAATTTATGGGTCTTTTTGTGGATTTTTTTCTGTGGAATATTGAAAGGAAGGATGTCTCCTATGTCTTAATAGTATGTTACCTTTTTTAATAGGTGTTATTGAGAGTATTGCTGTGAGTTCAGAGGGGGCATTATTCTGTTCAGTTGGAGATGACAAAGCAATGAAGGTGTTCGATGTAGTTAACTTCGATATGATCAACATGCTGAAACTTGGGTAAATTAGTTTTTGAAAATGTTTGTTTGGAATTATAAATGATGTTTCTTTTGCTAAGAGGTAAGTCAATATTTTGCTTTTGTTTGAGGGATTTTTCCTACAGTCAGATGAAGCTGAGTAAGTTTCATTATTTGGAATGCATCCAGTGGCTGGATCCTGCCTGACTGAATAGAAGAATTTACAACTCTGTATGGTACATGAGTGGAGTAGGTCTGTGCCTTTTCTCAGGATCAGATATTATGCAGAGAGATGTGATGTTTCTCAAAATACTTAGCTAGGCATAATTTTTTTTTCTGTTGTTTGGCACTGAATTTAAAAATTTTAGCCAACTAATAATTCCAGCAGAGAGGGAATTTGGCCTGTATGTATTGTCTTATTTGTCGTAGGGATAGAAATTTACTACTTCTGTTAGAAAGAATGTTGTTGCTTTCCTTAGTCTTGCTGTTGTAGGATTTCTGTAGTTATACAGTATGTAGCTAAAGAATCTGGGAGAAAAAGGAATGGATGTTATTGGAAATATAAAAATATTGGAGGAAAACAAGCCCCACCTGTTACAGGGGTGGCTTAAGAGTGTTGAAGGATCATTGAATGCTGTACCAGGAATGGTAGAAATACTCATGTTTCCACAAGCCTTTCAAAATTGGAAAACTTATTCCTCAAAGGCTTGTTGATTAGTTGTGAAACTGAATAGAAGCATAAACTAAAAAAAAAAAAAAAAAAAGCTCTTTTCAGAATACCTGTATAAAAGCTTATGTTACCTGCTTTGCTCGTTATAGTATTATCGTCCAGATAATGTACTTAGCCTATAGGAATTGATTCCCTCTTGACTCTCTGCTATGGAAAACTTCCAGTTAGCTTTACTCTTTTGTTTTTACTGGGCTTTTCTACTTAGTAGCCCTATGTTGTAATTACAAAATTAGTAAAATTACAGGATTAAAAAAAAATTGTATTAAGAAAAACTTAATTTGATGCTACAATAGAAGGTGCTTTTTTTCTGTTTCAGAATTCGGGGAAAACTGATGGAGAATTTAAATCTGTTTTGTTTCAGGAATACCCTGAGAATGCTACGTGTAACATTTTGCTATAATATGTTTCCTGATTTATCTTTAGATTTTTTCCAGCATCTGTAATCAAGACTCTCATCTCCCCATATATTTTTTTTCAGAGATATTTGG